TATAGTCACTGACACTAGTCAGTGACTTGATGCAATTTGCTGGGTTCCTTATATAGGAAACATTATTTCTGATTGGCTTAATGAACTGTGAATTGGAATGTTTATTATGTGAAGTGCCTTGAGACGACTCTTGTCGTGATTTGGCGCTATATAAATAAACTTGAATTGAATTGAATTGAATTGACAAGCTGTGTTGCCAGTCATAAATATACCATTTTCTTCCCCCCAAAAAGTACATAATTGAAAAAAAATTATATAACATGATTCAGAGGGACTTAACTGATAAAATGATGTGCATTACGACTCTGAAAAAAATTTTGGGCACAAATGGGCTAAGGGAAAACGTAAGGGAAACCAAGAGAGAACCTGGAGGGGGCTGGGGGACCACAGGGGCACATAAACCTAAGAGGAACACCTAAGGAAAAAACCCTGGAGTGGACTGGGGAACACAAGGAGACACATGAGGGAGACGCAGAAAATGGCAGACACTGAAGGTGTGTTAGCAGTTAGCATGTTTCTACCTGATCAGTAGGACTGTTTAAAACAATGACATAAAAACATAATCATAAAACTACAAGATGGAGGGATTACCAATATGTGATTCAAGTGTGTGTGTGTGTGTGTGTGTGTGTGTGTGTGTGTGTGTGTGTGTGTGTGTGTGTGTGTGTGTGTGTGTGTGTGTGTGTGTGTGTGTGTGTGTGTGTGTGTGTGTGTGATTTAGACTGGGAGAGTAGGGGCATGGGAAAAAACAGACCTCATACAGGGCGCTAAAGTATACAGTGAGAAAACCTCAGCGCCAGTGTGACAGCTAAACATGAGAAAGGGTTTGGGGTGTGGGCGAAGGACGTGTTTTTATTTCAACAGTTTTATTAGAACATAAATATCTAGGTTTAATTAAAGGGAGGTAGGACGTTTGTGAAAATAATCAGAACGTTTAGAGGTTTTAATCATACTGCATGAAATGTCAGTCCGATTCCTGTTGCCTTGCTTCTGCAGACGGAGTTAATCCCACACACACACACACACACACACACACACACACGCACACACACACACACACACACACACACACACACACACACACACACACGCACGCACGCACGCACACACACACACACACACACAATCAGAGCACAGGGAGCAGCCTCTCAATTACAAAGCTCTCCTCGATGCTCTACACCTCACGTTTCTCTGGTGGTGACTGGATTAACGCACTAATTAAGATGCACTTAACCCCACAAACAAGAGACCCTGCTCAGACACTATCGAAAAGCAAATTGGGGCAAGACTGAACCTCAATTAGGACTGACAAAGACCAGATATTATCAGGGGGTTTAAAGGATGAGAGAAGGTTCTGGATTTGGGTGCGAACATAACTTTACTATCTTGTGATACTGTTTGTTTGCAAACATTTTTGTTTGCTGTCAGTAATTTGTTTGACAAGGTAGCAAGTGACTAAATGGGTGCATTGTTGCTTGTCAATAACATTACCACTGTTTGTTGTACGATTACGACTAATACGAATTTTGAAGGACTTTTGAGTTTTTGCTTTTTAATATTTGAATTTTTCAAAAGTTTTGCATTTTTGGCTCATTAGAATAGAATAGAATAGAATAGAATAGAATAGAATAGAATAGAATAGAGAATTCGTTTTTGCCTCTCAGTAGAGAAATGTTTGTGTCACAAAGGTTCAAAATAATCAAATGTCCAAAAATCTAAATATTAGATGCATACTAATTTTAAGAAAGATACAATAAAATAAAATAAACACTGTGTGGAATTAAAAAGATGGCAGATAATGTACAGGAATAAAAAAACGAATGGGAAACTATGCCATTGCAATGATGAGTGTGTAGAATGGCAACAGAAAATATTCAAATCTCGTTACTGAGATGTAAAAATGACTTGTAAACAGTCAAAAAGTGTACATATTATGTTTAAATTCTTATTATGAATGAGAAGGGTTAGGGTTACAAACTCACCAGGTCTGGAAATCATCGTAGCATGATCATCTCTGTTTACCACCTAATTTGTGATCTTTGTTGTAATAAGTCACAGAGACTTTTGCCTCCTTATACCAATTCAGACTGGCATCTTTACATCAAAGCTTCTGAGCAAAGCTGATTAATTAACTCCTCAGGCTTATACCTCTGAACCATAAAGAGCTAGCAAATTACCTTTGGGGGAAATGATTACAACCATGGCAAACAATAAATCAATCAATGAATCAAATGAAGCCTGTGCAGCATCGCTGGCGTTTTGCTCCTGCATTCAGTCATCTGTGGAATAACAATACCAAAGACGGGGATTATAGTTAAATTGTTAATCACAATGTGATACTGCTGTCAGCAGATTCCCCATGTGAGAAAAAAAGATGATCAGGGTGCTATTTGTCTGCTGCAAGAGAGGACATAACACTGAAAAAAATTCTTTCCACTCCACTGGACAGATGGGAACGATTCAGAACAAAACAAGGAGGGTTTGTTTTAGTCATCTTTCTACTGGTTGTTATTACATTTCTACACTAAATCTGCAATCCTAAGTCACAAATATATATTTATATCTCACGGTACAAACAAAATGTGGTTGGATGCATCTTTTTTAATGATTTTTTTAAAGAAATGTAAAGGACCGGTTCAATTGTTCTTGAAAAAAAAAGCTCAAGGTTTGTGATGGTACAGGGTCATTTATATTCATTCTCTTTGTGCAGAAAAGTAGACTGATTCAATGTAATATGCATGTGATATTTTAGGAATATCCATACAGTTTTTAGTAAGCAAACCACATTCCAGTTATATAGTTTCGGACATAAAACTGGACTGGCCTCTCTGCTGATTTAAAGAAAAAAGTGTGGATGATTTCAACTCTGTTCTTTTACATACCTCAACAAAACCTAAAAAGGAACATCCCAAAGTCAGGGTTAAAATGAAAGTACAGGTGAAACTTAAAAAATTAGCATATGGAGCAAAAGTACATTTAGGTCAGTAATCTAGTTTAGACTGAGAGACCATCTAAAGCGGTGGTCCTCAGCTAAATTTGTTGAAAGGGCTGGAGTTTTTTCCAGCCGGCACCGTAAGATGCTTCTCTATAAAGTTACATTGTTATTGTATCTTAATTTATTAATATTTGAAATAGCTTTGTTTTCCATATAAATTGTTTTGATTGTAGCTTTTTGTTGTGTTTGGAGAGCATAAACAAGTATTAGTATTTGGAACATGAATTTAGCTGCTAAATTTCAAAGTTCCTCAGTTGGGGGGGGGGGGTGGGGGGGGGCGTTAGAGTCAAGGGGTTGAGGGGATGGGTGGAAAGATCTGGCAGGTAGGATGTGGCCCGCGGGCCACCAGTTGAAGTTCACTGATCTAAAGGCTCAGGAAACCTTTGCAGCTCTTCCGGATTCATTAGACTGTAACACTGAGTCTAGAATATTGATCCTACAATATTCTAATTGTCTGAGATTTTGAATGTGGGGTTTTCATCAGCTACAATCATCACAGTTATAACAAATAAAGGCTTAAATATCTGGATTTGCCTGGAATGAGTCTATCTCACAGATTAGTTTCTCCTTTTAGGTTAAATTACTGGCATACAGTAAATGAATTTTGTCCTCAAAAGGATGTTTCATAAACAAAAGCTTTTGCTGTAACCTGAAAACTGTAAACTTATTTGTGGTTGAAATTAGCCTGGTAAGCAATCCTTTATAGATAAGAATATAGTTTGTCCATGACCCATAGGTAGTAGGGCTGAATCTATAATTATCTTTCAGACTGTCTCCGCAGGCCATTGGACAGTGCTAGGACCAATCAGCAAAAAGCAACAGAACGTAAAGAGACAGTGTGCGTTTTTCCTGGCGATAGGGGGCAGTAGATGCCTAAATCATTGCAAGCAAGTAGCATTTTTGTATTAGATAGACATTACCAACGGACGCCCATTAGGGTAAAAAAGCCCCGGGAAGTGCAAACTTCAGCAAAATGACAAACACATCAGACTTCCTTTCATCACTGGCAACGAGTGAAGAGGTAAATGTGTAAAACAACAACAGGAGTGAGCACCACCTCACCCCTGCCACGTAGACCTCAAGGGATAAACCATCAGTCCTGCTCAATGCTCAACTTTCCTGGCGGGGTCACCCGTGAAGACAGTGGGAGGGTTAAAGAAAAGTGCTGGTCTAATTGTCCAAAGTTATGTCAAACCAGTGCCGTTCCTTAGCTGTTAAGCTCTCCCAACCTCTCTCTACAGCAGGGGTGTCAAATATGCATCCCGCGGGCCGCATCCGGCCCGCAAGCGGGTTAAATCCGGCCCGCGAGATGGTTGTGTAAACTTTATTTTCATACTTTACAATGTAGAGTGAAAAGACACTTATCTTTGTGAGCAAGTTTCCTCTGTAATCAATATAAATAAAACAAAGCTGCGCTCAAGGCCCACACAAGAACTTGAATCACATCCTGAAGTTGGCTGCCACTCAGGATGTGACTTCTGATATTGATGTTCTGGTGAAAGCTAAAAGATGTAAAGTAAAATGAGTCAAATATACTTTAAGTGCTGCATGAAACTGATCTAGCTATGTGATCTGTAAGCTCTTTGAATCACTAAGGAATGTTTTTTTATTGATTGATTTTTTTTTTTCAAATTTTCAAGTACACTTCAGGTGTTGTACTTGTACTATTTTGGATACACTGTCCTCAGGCTCCAGCCTTGTTTTATATTGATTGTATTAAAACAAAGGAAACAATCTGAAGTGGTTTTTAATTTACCGGTCCGGCCCACTTGGGACTAGATTTCCCTCAATGTGGCTCCTGAGCTTAAATGAGTTTGACACCCCTGCTCTACAGAATGTTGCGATTGGACAGACCTAAAATTGTTTGGGCCAATTGTAGACATGTTGATGCTACAATGGGGCGTGTCTAGACCAACGTCCTGAGCAAAATCTTTTGCAACTTCTGCCGTTGGTCCAGAATCCAGATTTTTAGCATAGGCTCATACTGCTCTGTTGCCTAGGATGATTCATATCTTCTGAGGACAAAAGAAAGACCCAAACATTGGCTAAAACCTTTCTGTGTCACGGTCTGAGGTATTTCCCTGCTGTCACTCCCTGTCTTTTGAGTTTCCCTCTGCAGGTGGGCATGTCTGGAGGTGACCAAGCTGCAGCAGATCTGCTCATCAGCTGGCCAGGGGTATTTAAGCAGCTGGGAGACTCCTACACTTTGCTGGATGATTACTCTACCTGGGTACCTTCTAACAGCCGCTAGTTTATCTTGGTCAAGCTCTTTAAGCCTTTTGAGAATTAGATTGTGTTTTTGGATTTTTAAGAATTTAATGAGTTTTGGATTTTTGCCCTTTGACCTCCTGCTCTTGTTCCCAGACAAACCTACACACTCTCATCTTGGACTGGCAGAACTCTGGAGTCCACACCACCTGGATCTCCAACCCTGCACGTCTCTCAGCCTCTCCCCTGGCCAGAACCACCTCCAGCTGCCCACCTAAACTTCCTGGACCTCCATAAACTCAGCTCCCTCCACGTCTCACTTCTGGATCTCAGTCCCTGCAAGCCACTCAACTTAGACCGGACCACTCCTCCCTCAAACCAGTTCCCTCCTCTCCAGACCGTAAGTCCTCCGCACAAGTCTGACTTCCCGTTCCTTCCGCAAACTGGTTCTAACTCCGATCTGTCCACAGTTTTCCCGCACCAGCCTCCCTGTGCAAGAACTCAGCTTCGTTTACGCTGCTCCCTTGGTTTCCCTTCAATAAATCCTTATTTAAACCTTTTAAACCGTCTCCGATCTGATTCTGTATGTCGTGGGTTAGATCACTTCACCACAACATGACATTCTGCTTGAAAAATCTACAAAACCTTTAACTTTTTAAATGATTGTTAATTTTACTAATGGAAAAGTATTAGACCAATGTGAGTTAGCTGGCAGAAAGCTAGCATTCTGGAGGTGAGTCTGGTTTGTTTTGGTTTGTTCATATGGCGTGATGGTGGCAGAGGATTTAAGTTCCCACCCCGTAAAACACCTAAGGGACTTGTAGGACTCTTGAAGGTGCTATATAAATAAGTTTCCAAAACACGTCAAAATCTGCACTTGAGATCGGGCCAGACCGGAAAGTCTAACACAAAAGAAGTGTAAAACACTTGGAAACTTTCAAAATAAAAGTACATCATTTCCTGTGAAACCACCATGGCCAAGAAAACCGAAAATAAACCACTGTCTTTCTCTCTGCTTGTTATTGTGTGGACTTCTGAAATCACATGTGGCGTTGCAGACTTTGAGAGACAGTGGCGTGGAACGCTTTTGCTCCTGTTTTGTGTCTGAAAATTGCATCCCAGTTGGACGGGAGCTCGCAGGTAAAACATCGCTATTACATTGCATGCTGTGTTCACATCCGGTGAAATAGAGGCTTTAGTCCATGCCCTTGCTTCTGCCGTCATGAAATGACATTTGTTGCCCCCTCTTAAGACTTGGGAGTTTTTTTTCTGCCATGGGTTCTAGACCTTTCCTGACCTTTTTGACTATACCTCGGCTCATAGACCCTTTTACTGTTTGTAAACAATATGACGTCAGCGAGAATGCGCGCAGCTTGGCAACAGAGAATGGCGTTGTTTCAGGCTTAATTAAGCTACGCTGCGGGGTTATCACCGGCAAATCTTGAATGTTATATTATTAAACTCTAACGAATGGCAACAGACTCCCGGATCCCTGTGGCATTACGGAATGGGTGGAAGATGTAGGTGCGTGGCCAGATATCCAGTGGCCCGATATATATACGTTTTTAGTGGAGAGGCCCAGTAAGTACACACGTGAGAAGCTACGGGCATACAAATCGTTAGATGCATACAACTATGTTGTCTGTGGCCACGTACAGGAAGTAAAATATCACGACATAGACTCTGAGTTTTGCGTCTTGAAGGCAGAAGTCCTTCCTAGCCAAAGACAAGGACACAAGACTGCTATGTACGAGGCTTGGGTCATAGTAAACAAACCAGAGAACTACGTCTTCACAGCCAACTGTACCTGCATGGCAGGGTGAGTATAGCATAGGTTTCTTTTTTTAGCGTGCTCAGAGTACAATCATGTTATTTTTAGAGAAATACAGTTTATACTAATAAGCAGTGGGAAAATACAGATGAATTAGAATGAAATGTTAATTTGAAGCATGAAATAAAGCGTATAAATTTGTTTAATTCTGTCATTTTGATGTTCCAGACTTGGGTCATGCTGCAGCCACGCAGCAGCAATTTTATTCAAAGTTGAGCTTTGTGTTAGGATGGGAAAAACAGAAAAGGCTGCAGTTACCCTTTTGATGGCCTGCAGCCACAGACACCTCCGATTTTGTTGAAATGGATGTGCTCCCTTCGGAATTCTGTAAAGTTTCAGTCCACTGCTTGAAGAGAAGCGATTCTGGCATCCATACACGCAACAACCCGACATTTTTATGTGCTCAGAACTTCAAAACAAAGGGTTTAAAACGTTGTTTTAGTATCGAGTGTGAATGAGGAAGCCTTCACTCTCGTTGCCAGGCTGTGTGCGCTACTTTTGATGACGTAGGTAGCAAAAGGGTCTATTGGACAACAGATCTTTTTGCCACATTTGATGTCTTCTCTGGGTCTGACCTGGACACACATCAATGACTACTGAGTTTTGAATAGCAGCTACTTGCATAGTGAGGCACATTCATAAGCATGCAAGCAAGCAAGCATGAAATAAACTTAATGCAAAAATGAAAATACACTTTTGTGTACATTTGGAATGTAATCCATCCTAAACTTTTGTTTGCTAAGTAATTTGTTGTCTTAAAATAAATTCTGTTCAGTTTACTTCATGATGTTTTGACTAGTTCTCTGGTTTGAATGATCTCATGCAGTAGGCTTACAACTAGCATTCATCTGAGAGCTTTTAAAAAATGTGTTGGTATCACTTCTGTCTGGGATAAGATTGGTTTGCATATCAAATCCCGACTGTGACCTGAGTTTAAACTGTGGCCGCTAGTTGGGAGCTCACTGGCAGATTGGTGGGCACAACATTCTTAACAGTACAGATTGGGTGACAATAATGAGAGTACTCTAAACGGCCTCCACTGTCAGTGGCCTGAGCCTTCAAGAAGTTCCCGTCAGATTAGTGATCGAGGAAGAAGTCATGGGTCTTGGCTGGGTGAATCTACTGATGAATTTTGTGTGAACTTGTGAGGTGGGACAGACATTTCACTGAAATGTTCTCGATTATATAATAAGGATAAAATATTCTGAGAGTTGGAGCTTTGTTTAAGTTTGGTAAAAAAAAAAAAATATATATATATATATCATTAGAGTTAAATGATAATAACTCTCTTTTACAGGTGAGGTTTAGTGGAGGTTAAAATGTCCAAACATTTTTTAAAATCTCAATCTGGTAGCAAAAACACCCACAAGAACATTCAAATGACCATCTCTTGGCTAGGTGATTTCCTGACAACTTCATTTAATCTTAATTGGACTAACTGTAGACCGCAGCTTAAACAAACAGAACTTCATCCTGTATTTGAAGAGAGATTTCCTGAGAGATAGCCTTCCAATATAAAGTCATGCAAACAGTATCTCATTAGCAAATGCAAATGAGAAAACACCCGATCTTCACAGAGAGGCAGAAGTGTATCTCCATAGGAAAGCTGGAACATGACAGTCCTCCAACCGCCCCCACGCTGAGCACCAAATGTGATGGTCCACTCCTGCTGCTACTCTTAACAGGATCTAGGGTGAAACCATAAAAGGGTGGTGGAGGGGAGAGAGAGAGAGAGAGAGAGAGAGAGAGAGAGAGAGAGAGAGAGAGAGAGAGAGAGAGAGAGAGAGAGAGAGAGAGAGAGAGAGAGAGAGAGAGAGAGAGAGAGAGAGAGAGAGAGAGAGAGAGAGAGAGAGAGAGAGAGACGAGGATCAGCATAGGAGCCTTCATCTTTGGCTTTAAGGAACTATACTTGTTAACAAGTTGTGCAGTAAAAGTGTTTTAAACCGTCTACACTGAATGAAGAGGTGTTCTGATATTATCATCAGAATTTATTATGATTTTTTCTTCTACAAATCACATCATTATACCATTCTCCATATGAGAATAAGACAAGAAACGTTTTTAAGTTTGCAAATGAGCACAGTCTCCTTCTGCCAGGAAAAACTTTGAACAAATGACAAATGTTTTTATGTAGTGGTAAATAATTAGCATAAGGATTTAAAAGATGAGTTTTAAACATTCTAATGAGGGAGGTTTGATTTAATTAGTTTTTGTTTGTTTGAACCTAACTCCTAAATAGGTTTTCTGGAAACACATTTCTGCTTAACTTTAACATCTGGGTTGCAAAGTAGAGGGGGGAATTTTGTTGAATAAAAATGAAAACATTACAGGTCTGTAAGTTGTTAGGAAGGAAGCAAACCCTCTCGACCCAATCATATCACTCCTTGGAGGATGTGACTGTCGTGACATCACAAGCTGCGTTGAGCATGACTTCCTGGCATGGCTCCAGCCCAACAGACCTTCTGTTGCCAGCAGGGAGAAGGTGGTCCAGGGCAAGGCCACAGTGGCCAGGTCACCAGCTTTTTCCTCCTGCCTGGCTATAGCACTGCAGGGTGGGGGAGGCCGGCAGGATGGCAAGATGTCAGAAACGGCAGAAACAGCCCTTTAGACGTGTTAAAAAGCAGACACAGCTAGAGGAAGCTGCTCATTGAGCACTGCAACGACATGGTGAAGCCATTCAACAGACTGCCTGCCCAATAAACAAAACACACACACACACACACACACACACACACACACACACACACACACATACACACACACACACACACACACACACACACACACACACACACACACACACACACACATAGTTCTTTTCTTCTTTTAGATCTCTTCACTTTTTGCCTTTGTCACAGTTATGTTTAAAGCGAGCATCATACAAAGATAACCTGAATAATTATAAAAATAGTAAGTACATTTTATTTATATAGCACTTACCACACACAGAAAATCACAAGGTGCTTCACATATAAACAAAAAAAATTACCATCATAAAATCATAAAGATAAAAGGCCAAAACCTCTGCTTACCAAACACTAAGGTCCATTTTAAATTTCCCCCAAAACATTTTGCTAATCATCAAGACTTTTGGTCAAATCTGTTACATCAGCTATAAAACTAATTGCATTTGAGAGAGAAAAAACCTTAAACCAACAGTCAAACATGGTGGTGGTTGTGTGATGGTCTGGTGCTGTTTAGCTTATTTGGGACAGGGACAATATTCTGTAATAGATGGAACCCTCAGTTTTGCTCTTTAGCAGAAAATCCTGAATGACTTTGATCTCATTCATGCTGGAAACAAGTTCATACGATGGAATCAAACAATTCTGTAAAGAACAGTGGGACAAAATTCCTCCAGAGCCATGAGAGACTTTGGTATACATTATTTTCTGTTTTTTCCCTAATAATAATATTAACAACAATAATAATAATTCATTTTATTTACAAGCTCCTTTCAAACACAAGGACACTTACAGCATTTAAACAAGCAACAAGATAAAGATTCTGTTCAAGATTCAAGATTTTAAGATAGTTTACTGTCATTGCACAGCTATACAACGAAACTGACTTTGCGCTCACTAAAAACAGCTTAAGTAAAAGGTAAAATAAAATAAAATAAAATAAAATAAAATAAAATAAAATAAAAAGGTAAAATATGAGTAAAATAAAATAACAAGGCTAAAATAGAAGTCACGTGCACTCTCTCTCTCTCTGTCTCTTTCTCTCTCTC